CCATGGCGGCGGTACTATTGGCGAAATTGTGCTTTCGCTGTGTCGTGCGCTTTTCCGACCGAGAGTACATGCGCTGAGGGAGAAAAGCCGACGGGATTGAATAGGAAGAAAAAATGGTACGTGATAACGCAGCTGTCCGTGACTGTCGTCGCGAGGCGGGCGCGTAATCGAGCGCCGGAGTATTCGGCGGCGACCTAACCTCTCACCGGGGACTTGACACTCGTCCTTGCAATATGTTGCGTCATTTCGTCATTGCGAGCCCCTCGGAAGATGAATTAATCAAGTTGCACTTTTTACAAGTTTCTTCATTTTATAGCATCCAACGCATCGCTAATTTGTAACTTCAATTTTCTTTGCTGTTTATTTTGATAAGGGAACAATCGGCCTCCGAGAGAGGCTTATGACGTATGTGGTCATGCTAGATGTGTATTTGTTTTTTCGAAGTTCATTCATTGGTCTATATTAATTTTATGTGTTCTAATATATTTTTATACTTTACAAATTTGTTAAGCATATATGTATTTTATTTTTAATATTGCATTCAGTTATGTTATTCTCGAAATGGATTAAAATTGTGTTATATTTTTATACGTTATATTTTTTTTAATTTAATTTTTTAATCAATCTTATAAATTAAAGTTTAAGATGAAGAGATCGCTATCAAATTACAAGTCAGTCATATATGGATTGTTGAAATTCATATATGAGGCATTATTCATAACAATATGTTTAATAAACAATTAGATTACATTTAAAACATTAGTATTTAGGGAGATCTTGATTATACTTATATTAATAATAAATCAATATTACTCCACATTTTAAAATCTAAATTATTTATTGCTTCATACATTAGCAGAACCACTGCAGTGAGTCTAGCAATGATACGGATGAAGAGGATAATCAAGAGGCGTCTTCCTTGCAAGAAGGAACAAACATTGAGGATACCTTAACGTCTTTCAGGGAACAGTGGCAACGTGAGTTAACAATATCACCAAAGCGTGATGCATCAAAGATATATTCACTAAAACAGCCTAACATTGAGGTCGCAAATGATGAAGCCTCTATCGAAAGCAGGGTACAATAATTACTTGCTCGATATTAGAAAGTTTATATTTTTATACCATTTTTTTAAGAATATTATTTATTTCAGGCGAAGAATCTATTTCTTAAAGGTATTGAGCATGAACAAAGTAGAAAGTTTTATGAGGCGATCCAGTTTTATAAACGCGCAGTACAATTAGTTCCTGATATTGAGGTTCGCTTATACGAATCAACAAAAGCAAAAGCAAGAGATAGATTCGATGCTGACGACTGCTTTGATACATTAGATAATGATAATTTTTCAACTACTAATGACAGTGAAAATCATAATGAAGCTGACGAAGAAGAAACTGATTTATTTTTAAAGTTGTCTAAAATTGTAAATTGCAATCAATGTGTATGTTTCCCAAAATTTGAACAAAGTGTAAGCATTTTATTTTAATCATTTTATAAATCATTTTATACATGACATATTTGCTCAAGGTGTTTAATTCTTTTATGTGTGTTCTAAATTTTATATTTAATATCTTTTTTATATATTTTAGACAACACATATATCTGCATTACCAATGGAGATAGTGCTTTACATTTTAAGATGGGTTGTGTCTTCGGAGCTGGATTTCCGATCATTAGAGATGTTCTCGACAGTATGCCGCGGATTTTATATATCTGCACGAGACACAGAGATTTGGCGACTAGCATGTGTTAGGTAAATATTGATAATTATTGGCACGATTATTAGTTATTATAATTGGAATTATTTTTGATAGAGTATGGGGTGTAAATTGCGGTACTTGCGAACCGAAATATAAATCGTGGAGGGATATGTATTTGCAGCGGCCTAGATTAAGATACAACGGATGTTACATTAATAAAACAAGTTACATACGCGATGGAGAGAATAATTTTCAAGATCGTTTTTATAGACCATGGCATCTCGTTGAGTATTTCCGGTACCTGAGGTATGTATGAGGAAGTACAATATCTCTATTATTAATATTTGTGAAAAGCTTGTACTCTTACTTCGTATTATAGCATCCATAATCTTGTGAAATTCTTTAATATTCTTTTTGCGCGCATTTAGATTTTTTCCTGAAGGAAAAGTTTTAATGCTGACATCAACTGATGAAGCTCAAAGTTGCGTAAATTCCTTACGAAATCGCATACCGCGCAATCCATCGGTACTCGTCGGCCACTTTCGATTACATGATAATTATGTTACACTTGTATTAAAAAGGCAAGAAACTAAGGGAATCAATTTCTACAGACGAAAGAAAAGAGAATCAGTGCACGACAGTGGCGAGCAAACGTTTCACATTGTAAGTGACAAAGATTAAATACATTTGAGACTGAAAATTATAAAAATCAATGATATATTGATATATTTTATATATGTCATTCAGGAATTTGAAATACAGAACCATCATAGAAGAGTGAACTCACAATTAAAATGGATCAGCTATAGTATTTTCACGAAGTATAAAAACGGACAGGAAGCAAAAATTTGTTTAAAGGAACCATCTGTAAGGGAATTCAGGGCATCACCGATTGGTGGCAGATATCCACCTCTTAAATTCAGCAGGGTAAAGAGTTACACTCAGGAGAGTGAAGTTCCATTGTAGTAACGAAGAGATGGCAACAAACAAATTGTATGAATCATGAGAGTACAACTATTGAATATTATTCTTGCAGAAAGGAAAAATAAATTAGTGAGTGTAGTGAATTCTCAATACAAAACCAAAAGTAAAGATAAATATTTAATTATAATTGAATGTGCTTTTCTTTGAATTATATTAAGTACATATATTATACACATATTTTTTTCAAGATTTTTATTTGTCATGTATCACGCGTTATATTTCATAACAGTTTCTATTAGTACATTATACAACCTGCAAATCACAACTATGCTTTGACGAATATTATGTCGATAACATGTCCAATCACATGGAAATGTATAACTTGTTTATAGATCTAATATATAATTATTTAAGCACTAGAGGATATAGTGCCTTATATCATTTCGCAATGAGTTGCTTAAGAATTTAACAAAGTATGTACTGAAAAATGTGATTACAGGTTTTTAATTAATTAATTAATTATTGCTCAGCTATAGTTAAGTTTATAAATGTATTAATTGAATGAAATTATGTATAATAAATTTTTTAAATTATGTATATAATTTTGTATAATTATACATAATAAATTGCAAGCACTGAAATTTATAATGTTATTTATGCAACAAAAATATAACAATGTACACTCATATGTGGTACAAAATACAACACATGTACATTAACCTTTGCGGGAAATGCGAAGTATTCATTCGTATTCTGTATTACTAATAATTACTTTTGCTATCAGATCCTTTGCACAAAATTGTAAATCTAAAATCTTCATCTTTTATTACTGCATCGATTAGCTATATATTTCATAATAATTACTCATCGCTAAATTGAAATTTACATTTCTAATTTTCCTAATTCTGAATGGAAATAGAATTAGTCGATTTTTAGAATAATTTTGTTATGAAAATTCAGCATGAACGATGAATTATTTTAACAACAGTGAAATTGAATCAGTATCCATTGATATATCGAAATAATTTTCTTTTTGGATGTATCATAAAGCATAATATTGATTTAAAGAAATGGTCGTTCAAAAAGATAACTTGATTAAAGTCCACACGGTCTATTCGACGATTTTTAATCCAGATCAAATATAATCTCACCATATTCCCTTATATTATAAGTTTTTGAAATTTTCTGTCAAACATTACGACGTGATTACAAATATTTATCAATTTCAAAATTTCATAAAAAGAGTAAGATATTTTCTAAATTCTTATATTTTAAATTCTAAAATATTAATTCACTATTAATATATAATTTATATTGTTTTTGTAAAGTAATTGTAACTTTTAAATAAATCCGTGTAGACTGCTAAACTTTGGTTTGTAGTATCGCGATGTATTATTACTGTGCTTGTATTGCTTTCCAGATCACCTTTAATACTTTTTCTCTTACTATACGTTAATAAAGTACATACAATTGACTCTAATAAATTCTTAACATTTTTCAATAGACATGTTCTCCAGGTAACCATATAAAGAATAAGCGTGTGATTAGAAGAAGTGATAAATATTCATTTTGCGCGTAAAATTCATATTCTGAATATTAAATTTTTCACTCTTTTCTCAGAGTGATTCATTTTTTCGATAATACGATATAAAAAATACATAACGATATTAAAACGTTGTAGAAAAAAAATATTAATTCCGTAGAATGCATAATACGCGATCAATTTTGAGATGTTTAATTTATAAATAATGTATTCTTATTAATAAAAACTATATACGTATTTTTAATACAAACATATCAATTTCATCGAAATAATAAAGCGCAAGAAATGAATAACATTTCTCCATGACAATAATATGTCGTCAAAAGCAGATTTTAAAATAAAATATTTATTCTTCTTAAAAAATTAAATAAATTTATTTTAATAAAATAAATTTATTTTTTTCTCACATTATACCCGTCAGTTTCCATCACCGTTCCTACTTATACTTTGCTTATTTGTGTGTTTGTAGAGAAACCCTACAAATATACCCCGTTACTCTTCGATATGATAAGTAACCGTATGTACTTTGTACTCGTGATTGTACCTAAACTGTCTCGATTACATAAATTAAATAACTCTGTATTAAACTCTGTGTTTTATATATATATATATATATAT